TGAAATGGATTTGCTGCGGGTTCCCGGCAGCTTGCTGCGGGATTGAGATCACAAGGCAGATTCCCAAAAAAGGTGGCTGGTTCCCAGCCATGTGACAGCCAGCTGGTCCCAGGCAAGCAGTGTGGGCATGCTGCCTGGTGGGAGGCAGAGATGCTGGGAGTCTCTGGGACAGCTGGTGAAAGCAGCTAGTCCCAGAGACCTTGCTGCAGGGAAGGTGGCTGCAACAAAGGGATATGCGGTGAATGGGAGGCACAGAGATAGACACACCATACAGAATAAAATTGGGCATATATTTGGTGTTATGGAGGGGAAGGAAAAGGGGAGAAGGGGGAAGGGAGAGGGAGAGAGAGAGGGAGAAGAAAGAAAGGGGAGAAGGGGAGAAGTGCAGAGAGAGGAAGAAGCTGCCTCTCAGAGAGAGGGAGGAGGGTGGGAAAGAGAGAGAGTGTGGGTCTGAGGCTGCAAACAGGAAGAGAGTGGGCGTGGCTTGTCTCTTAAAGAGACAGAACATTACAATTATGATGATCATAATGTATAACAAGCTAAATTTGATTTCATCTATGAACAATATTTTTATAAATACTATTTATATTTGACTTAATTTAATTTTTATAATTTCAGGTTCTAAATGTTTCGATAGCATACACATATCATCTGCATACAGCCAGATATTATTAAAATATTTGAGTCCCCTCCAAGTACTATACTATCCCCGACCTTGTTTAATTTCAGAGATCAGAGGAGATGGGGCACATTAAGACTCTTAACAGCAGTGGACAGGGTCCATAAACAGTCCTTTCCTTTTGACTGCTCTGTCGTCATAGAACCTACATCGAGTAACTAATGGAAGCTGATGCAGAGATCCACAGACAAGCACCAGACAGAGTTCCAGGAGGCAAATTTATTTATTTATTTATTTATTTGTTTGTTTGTTTGTTTGTTTTTAGAAAGTAATTTTATTAAATTATAAAAGTTTCCATTTATGCCCCTCTTCCCAACACCCTCCCACTCCCCCCACTCCCTCTCCTCCTCCCTCTTCATCCCTAAGGGCAGTCAGGGTTTCCTGCCCTGTGGGAAGTTCAAGTTCCTCCCCCCTCCCTCCAGGTCCAGCAAGGTGAGTATCCAAACAGACTGGATCCCCAAAATCCAGTATATGCAGAGGAAACAAGTCCCAGTGTCATTGTCAATGACTTTTCAGAAAGACTTCGGGCCAGCCACATTCAGAGAATCTGGCCACATTCAGAGAATCTGGTTGGATCACGTGCTCATTCAGCCCCAGTCCAACTGGCCTTGGTAAACTCTCATTAGATCAGTCCCCTTGTATCAGTGGGTGATAGCATCCCTTGCAGTCCTTATGGACGGCGATACTGACGGAGACCCACATTGGAGCACCGGACTGAGCCCCCCAAGGTCCAAATGAGGAGCAGAAGGACGAATAAAATGAAAAACAGGAGGCAAATTTAAAGAGGGAGGAGGGATTATAAGAGCAAGAGGGGTCAAGATCATGACTGCAAATCTACAGAGGCAGTTTATTTGTGCTCCTTGGAGATCTGCGAATCGTGATGTACAGTTGGAGAGCCTTCATGGGACCAAACTAGGCCCTCTGCATGTGAGTGACTGTTTTGTAGCCTGCTCTGTTTTTGGGTCCCCAGCAGTATGACCAGGATCTATCCATGGTGCATCAGCTGGCTGTTTGAAGACCATTCTCGGTGGGGAATGCCTTGTTCTATCTTGATGTAGAGGAAAGTTGCTTGGCCCTGCCAAACTGAGTGTGCCCAGGCTTTGATAACTCACCATGGGAGGCCTTACACTTTGAGAGCAGTGGATAGAGGTGGGGTAGGAGAAAGGGAGAGCAGGAGACACGTGGGGGAGAAAAAATGTGGTTGGTTTGTAAAATAAATAACAAAAGAAAAAGAAAATATTTGAGCACAATTTTTATTAGTTCACGGAATAAAATTTATTCAATGATTGAAGTTTGAAATCTTACTGTTTAGAAAATAAGCAACAAAATGAACTTGGAATTAAAGTATGTAAGGTTTAGTGGGAAATTTTTATTTTCTTGCTCTGTGCTAGTTTAGTAAGAATTTATTAGAAGCCAATAATAATTGCACTGGGATTTGTCTCTACTGCATGTACTGACTTTTGGGGATCCTATTCTATTTGAATGCATACCTTCCTAAGCCTGGCTGTTGGGGGAAGGGCCTTGGACTTCTCAGAGGGCAGGGTACCTTGCCCTCTCTCCGGACTGGAGAGGAATGGGGGAGGGTTGTGGGGGAGCGGGAGGGTAGTGGGAGGAGTGGAGGAAATGGAAATTTTGATTGGTATTATTTATAAAGTAATAAAAAAGAAAAAAAGAATCCATGAAATCAAATTAAAGAACCAAAATTTGAAACCTTTTTGTACTAAGAAATTAATATAACTACAATTTAGTTTTGAAAGTTACGACAATGTACTACTATATTCTTTTTATTTAAAAGAATTTTTTTCTCATATAATGTATCCTGATTAATTTGTTTGCCCTCTACTCTCCCTAGCTTCCTCCCCAAACCCTTCACCCAAATCTGTCTCTATGTCTCTAATTACAAAGCAAAGAGGCCTTTCTTACATAACAACAAATAAAACAAAACAAAAACTAGCTCATCAAAATTGAACAGAAAGAAAACAACAATAAAAAGAGTCCAAGAGAAGACACAAGAATCAGAACACATTTTTTGCGCACTAAGGAATTTCATAAACACAGTAAAATGGAAGCCATGATAAAGATACAATGAGTTTGTAGGATAGATAAAGAGAAGAAAAATATAGAAACAAATACCTATTTTTAAAAGAAAGAGCCTTGACACACATTATGACATAAGAAACCTCTAACTCTGCCACTTAGTTCACTTTCCGTTGGCACTCTACAGCTACCCATGAAGCCTAATTTGAAAAGGAGTTTGTTTCCTGGGTGAGGGCTTCTCAAAAAGAAACAAAATATTCACTCACAAGAAATGAAGATATCTTCTATGGATATTTATCTTCATCCTATAGTCTCTTGATCTAGGACTAACCTCTGTGGGTTCAAAGGATGGTAGCTTGCTTATGATTGACCTAACAGCTAATATCTATATACAAGCAAATATATGCTATATTTGTCTTTCTGAGTCTAAGTTACCTCAGTCAGGATGATTTTTTTTTTTGCTTAATTCTCTCCATTTTCCCATGAATCAGGGTTTCTGTTTCCTTTAACAGCTAAGTAATTCTGCTATTTAAAATGTATAACATTTTCTTTACCCAGTCTTCTGTTGAGAAAGGTCTAGGTATTTTCCATTTTCTCACTACTGTGTCTTGAGAAAGAATGGACATAGAATGGACATGACTGAGACAGTGTCCCTGCCGTGGCATGAAGTAATACGTAATACGTGATTATACACCAAAGAGCGATAGGACTCATTCTTGAGATAGATATATTCCCATCTTCCTGAAGAACCACAGCACTGATTTTGATAATAGATGAACAAATTTACACTCTCATCAGCAATAGATGAGAGTTCCCTTTACTCCATCCAGCATGAGTTGTAACTTGATTTAGTGATCTTAGTTAATCTGACAGGAGTAAGATGAAATTTCAATGTAGTTTTATTTTTATTTCCCTAATAATGAAGTATTTTAAACCTTTCTTTAAGAAATTCCAAGCCATTTGACTCTTGTCTTTGATAATTTATATATATCTACACACACACACACACACACATATATATATGTACACACACACACACACACATATATATATACATCCTATTTTTAATTAGGTTTCCTCAATGCCTACTTTTGTGTTCTTTATATATTTTAGATATTAGCTACCAATTGGATACAATGTTGAAAAAAATTATTCCCATTTTCTATGTACATATGAGGGTGTCTATTGTCAGACTGATAATTTTCTGTTTCATGGTGCCTATTTTTCAATTCTTGATCTTCTCTATCAATTTTAATCTACCTGTTTTTATACTAAGATAGTTTATTCATTTGATGTTGTTTTGTGCAGGGTGATAAATATTACAGATCTGTTTGAATTATTCATCTACATGCAGCAAAAAATTGATTAATACCATTTTTGTTGATACTGTATTTTTCTAATGTTTATTTCTGACTCTTTTTAAATCAAAAATCAGTTTTATGCAGGTCTAGATTTATGTTTGGGTTTTGAGTCACATTTTATTGATTGAGATAGCTATTTTTATAGCAATAGCATGCATTTTCTTATTATAGTTATATTAGTACTGCTTGAAACTGGGGATGGTGATACTGCCAGTATTTTTTTTATTATTCAGCTATATTTTGGCAAACATGAACTTTTGGAATAAAATTAATTTATTATTATTATTTTTAATTTTTATGTTACTCAGTTTCCATTTCTATTCTTTTGTTCTTAAAGTGAGAAAATGAAATATGATTTGACAAACCAAAAACTATCATATAAAGGTTAGTTATGGCACCTCAAGTGGCAGGAAAGAGTTCCAAATTCAGAATAATATAAATAGCCACATATATACTTATTCTCACAGTCATGATTTCCAAAAGATTGATTGTATTTCTACACTGTGATCTAGGCATCTTGCTTTGAAAAATTTCTAATCTTGGTACTGTTATCTGCACTTTTTTGAAGAGATATTTTGTTTCTTCATTTCAATTATCTTCTCTGGTTTTTTAGAGAGATTTAGCTGTGGGTTTCCTGGTAGGAAATCACTCTGGGATCCTAATAAATCTAACCATTTGTGGTTCTGAGAAAAATGTGTTCATAATTTTTGGGAAATGGCATCTAGTAATGGAAAAAAAGAGGTGGGGGGTCATCTAGTTAAAAGGAGGACAGAAATCAGGGTGTCCCACTAAGAACTGCTTAGTCCCACGTGAATGTGTACAGAGAATTAGGAAAATCATAAGAGGCTATCTGCTGCAGAGCGAAGAATGCTACTAGGGGACAGACATGAAGAATCAAAGCAAGTAGCAAAGATTCCACTTACTCTGAGTTCTTCCCGAGTAGGAGTGTTATACAGCTTCTCTGGGAATTTCCTCTGGGGTTGGGGATGGAATAAAGCCATGAGTTGGGGAAAGGATATTTACAGAAGTCCTGTGCAGTCCACTAGATGGGGTGTGTGTTCAGCCTGTGGTCTACTTCTGAGCTGAAAAATAGACAGAGAGATTCGATTTGGAGGACAGAAGGGAGATGAGAAGATTTGGAGTTTTCCTACCTGCTTCTCTCTACATATAATCTAAACAAGTGATGAGGAGAACACTGAAGTTACTTGTATTTCCTTCAAAGGCATAATATGAGGCCAATATTTAAAAATTAACATACATATTGAAAATCTATAATGAGAATTAATTAATCATCATGATTTTCAAATGTTAGAGATAAACGATATGTTTAGGACTTGCAGACATGAACATAATTTTCTACCTTATAGAGAAGAACATGCTTAGTCATTCATGTAAGCATGAATGTACTTTACAGTATCCACTGTAATTGTAATCAGCAGACTATCATAAGTTTTAAATGTTCAAAAATTTTATGAGACTCTTATCTTATGATTCAGGAAAACAATGAATAAGGCTTTAGATAAATGTGGCATGTAGAATCCTTGTTATCTCTCAAGTGTTTTCCATCCACCTCAGAGAGATAACAGTGTCACTATGCTCTGGGGTCTGTACTGTCAAGTATTTTATTTTATTTATTTATTTTTAATTTCACATTACATTCTATCTCCAGTTCTTCCCCACCACCTCTCCTCCTACCCCACCACCTCCCTCAGCTAAAGGTGACATTCAAATCTAATTATATCTATCAACATCAATAGTAAAAATAGGGGAGAGTCATCCAAAGTAATGTTTTAAAGTTTCTGTCCTTACCTGACATGCTCACGGCAAGAATATTAGCTATCCACAGTACAACAGAGCCAGATAATTGGTTGTTCTTGTCTGATCAACAGACCTGATTGAAAAGTGTGCCCAGTATCTGAGAGCACTCGCTGGTCACTGGTCACAGGTGACCTGTGATGATACAGATTTGTTTACAGGCATCACCATGGAAACCAGAAAATTCTTCCAGGTGATGGTAGGCTTGCAAGGAGAATGATGTCATAATTGAGGTAGCAGCCAATGGGAAGGTCCGATTCTGAGCTAAACTATGGAATTAGTTGGAGAAGATGCCAGTAGACCAACAGCAGTCATGAAGGCTGAGGAGTGGGCAACTGAAAAAAGGCAAGAAAAAAGAAGACTTTTTATTTTTCACATAGTTATTTAGAAAATATAAAAATTTTTAAAGTGTTTAATCTCTTTCACTATGATTCTATTATTTCTATTTTTAGTTATATTATCTAATTGTTTGTTTTCCACAACAAAAATAATCTCTTAAATAAATATTTTGTTTAAAAGATTTTTAAAAAGATTTGTTAATCATTGGTGCATGAATGTACTGATTGCATGATCGTTGTGTGTACAGCATATGCCCAGTGTTTACAGAGCCAGAAGACTGAGTATTTCATGGAATTGTAGCTAACACAAGTTATGACCTACCTTGAAAATGGTGGGAACCAAATCTACATCTCAAGTAAGAGCCAGAAACAGTCTTTAACATTGAACCATCTCTCAAATATAATACCTTGACCTCCCTTTCTTTTAAAAGCAAATGCAGTCTCAGTTCAATTCCCAGCACCCACAAAGTAATATATATA